CCTGCTGAAGAGGAAACGCGCTCTCTCGTTGTGCGCGTGCGAGCGTCGCTTCAAACAATAGTAAGTCTTTTTGTTTTTTATCAGACTGGTGTTGCGGTTTATTTAATGTATTTCGCAAGTTAAACAAACAGCTGCTGCATATCAGACTCGAAGTGTATCTTATGTGTCTGCTCAACAGGAAGGTGAAGGTTTATCAGTGCAGAGATGTCTAGTAGTGTGATCCGCGGCCCTGCTGGAAACAACGACTGCCGCATCTATGTGGGGAATCTGCCGCCTGATATCCGCAACAAAGATGTCGAAGATGTGTTTTATAAGTACGGAGCCATTCGAGACATCGATCTGAAAAACCGACGAGGCGGACCTCCATTCGCCTTTGTCGAATTTGAAGACCCAAGGTGGGTAACGTTACAACTGAACCTTGTGCCTTTTGCTAAAAGGCTAACGTTAGTCTGTTTGTTTCAACGTTGCCGTTTTCACTTAAATTATAAGAATTCTAAAAACCTGTAACCTGAAAACTGTGTTTTCGCAATCTATATAGAAGTAAGTGTGTATTTTTGCAACTAAGCTTTTTTTCTTTTGCTCTCTGTGCTAACATGCTAATTAGCTTAGCCATGCTCACCATGTTTCCAGAGCTTCGTTTGTTTCTATTAAATAATGTTTGGCATCGCAGTGAGAGTAAGGTTTGCAACTTTTACTTACTAATTTCGACCTAACACGTTTGTTTAATGTTTAAGCTTAAGTTTTCATTTGGTCTTTCTTAGGCTTTAGGTTTGGATATGGAAATTAGCTTTGAAACTAGACAAATTAGGCCTACTTATTGAGCTTGATACAGATTAGTTTCAGTGAGTTTTTGCTACAAGTTACTGTTTAGCACAGACCTCTTCTGTATTTTGAGGCAATATTGCATTACTTTTAAGTGTTTAGTCACTTAACTAGCTGGTCAGATTAGTTACTGTTTGTAGTTTAACTCGGTGTGACCCCTAGCCACACTGACTGGTTTTTCATGCCAGATTGGTATTTACGTGCTTTTCCTGCTTCTGTTGCCTTTAGAGATGCAGAAGACGCTGTTTATGCACGTGATGGCTATGACTATGATGGCTATCGTCTCCGAGTGGAGTTTCCCAGGAGCGGGAGAGGAGGTTTTGGTGGCGGAGGTGGTGGCGGCGGAGGTGGTGGTGGTGGTGGCGGAGGTGGTGGGGCTCCTAGGGGTAGATATGGACCCCCATCCAGACGTTCAGAGTACAGAGTAATCGTTTCAGGTATGGTAGCATCACAGCTTTAACTAATTCAAGAGCTGTTTGAAGTTGTATTGACCGTTGTATTTGATTCCAGGGCTTCCACCAAGCGGGAGCTGGCAGGATCTGAAGGATCACATGCGTGAAGCAGGTGATGTATGTTACGCTGACGTTTTCCGAGATGGAACTGGTGTGGTGGAGTTTGTTCGCAAAGAAGACATGACCTACGCCGTTCGCAAACTGGATAACACAAAATTCCGGTCCCATGAGGTAGGTTTGAGATTTTAATCTGAATTTTTTTGGATATGCTTAACATTGGAATATTCTTAAGGTAAGCAAATCCCTAATGTTATACTAGGAGGATCTATGTTGTAAGTGAACTCATCCTTGTGAATAGAGGTCGACCGATGTATTGTTTTAGCCGATTAATTGGCATTGATAGCTGCATCCTGGAACTGTGTAAACACCTGTTGTCTGTGTAATGTTTTTAATCGATTTCTTTTTAGAATTACCGTGTTAATGTAAAATGTCTATTTCGTTTTCATTTGTCAGATTGCTTGTTTCATGCATGTTTTGCAAACTCTTTCTGTTCTTACAAACATTTTATAAATATCGCATGCGATTTATCGTGCAGCCCTAACATACATACATACACACACACTTCAGTACTAATTTTCGTTGCGATTTTGTTCATATTACTAATTATAATAGCTATTGGTTATCGGACAGATTTTTAAACTTTAATGGTATTGGCAAAATCCACTACTAGGTGACTTTTCCTTTTGAATACCAAAGCTAAACCTTATCAAACTATTCCCAACTGTATGGAAATGGGAATACTGGTGTACAGCTAAAGAACAATGTTTCATTGCAGGAAGTCTGGTAAGTATAGTGAGAGTGTTGGCATGCTTGTACGTTACACTTGCTCAGTGGAAAGTTCTTTCTCTGCCAGGGAGAAACTGCGTACATCCGTGTGAGGGTGGATGGTCCCCGCAGTCCGAGCTATGGAAGATCAAGGTCAAGGAGCCGCAGTCGCAGCAGGAGTCGCAGCCGTAGCAACAACCGTAGCCGAAGCTACTCCCCACGCCGCAGTCGAGGATCCCCGCAGTACTCTCCTCGCCATAGCCGTTCCCGCTCTCGCTCCTAAACGAGCCCTTGAACCAGTTGTTTTTAGTCTTTATACAAACCCCATGTTTTAATTCCACCCTTCTTGTTTCATAAGACCATGATCATCTTATACCTTTCTGTCCTTTTATTTTTCTCTCCCTCTATTGGTTATTTTTAAACATGCATTTTTAACAGGACCCATCTTTTTTTTTTTTCTTTTTTTTTTATTAACTACAAAGTGGAAGTCTTTTTCATAGACCAAACAAAGGGTTATGTAATGGCTCCCAATATTTTTGTAAATGCCATGTATGAAAGTTATTCATGGGATAGTGAATAGTTCCACCATTGTTTTATGCTGTCTTCCTCTAGACGTGATACAGAACTGATGCTTTGCAATAAAGGATTACTAAATCTATACTGTTGCGTAAAAGGGTGAATTTGAACTCTAGAACAAATTCTATTCCAAAAAAAAAGAAAAAAGACTTATTGGCCCTTTGGCCATTATTTGGGTAACTGAACCAATTTTAGATCACTTTCAAATCAGGTGGTATGTTTAGTTGCATTGTAAAGATGTACTGGTCAAATGTCTAGTTGGGTTTTTGTGTCCAAAGACAGATAGCAGCTTTCATGTTTTCATTAAAATGTTTGATTCAGTCTTAGTGTTAGGTTATTAGTTTTGATAGTCTGTCTTAGCCCTAATGCTGTATGCATGCATCAAAGAAGGCAGGGTGAGTGGATTTGATTCTAACTCTTTGCCTCCTTTGTTTTGATTTAGCTGGTATCTTAAGGTTTGGATTGGAGGAGAGGCTCAGTGGATGCCGGATCACTGGGATCAGTACATAATGAAGATAGGATAGGGAATGCTGGATACATGGAACAGGATCAATTGCTCCCAGGATCATAGGATTTTAAGACCGCAATTCAAAAGTACTTCCCTGCCCCCTTTATTTTCTCTGTACCTCAGCGTAAAATGTAGACATTTTGGCCTTTCACATTTTTAACACGTTGGCGGAGCAGATGCTGGAAGAGTCTGGGGATGGAATCGACAGGAACAGTATGGTAAACTGAATTTGGGATGGGATGGGATGGGATGGGGGGGTGGGGGATTCAGGCATTTTTAGTTTTACACTGTCCCGATGTGGATGGTAGATGCTTTAACATTGCTAGCATTTTTCTTTTTAGTGTTTCAGTTTTTGCCTAAATAAAGGTTTCATTGGTACAAACGTAGTGTACGATGCATTACTTTGCTTTTTTTTTTTTTAATGCTTCCCAATTGACAGTTCACCTGGAATTTAAAATTATTCACTCAGTCATGGTGTTTCAAGACGGACTTTGGTGGGACAAAACGTTTTGAAGAAAGTTTCCGCTGTTTGGCCAAACAATGGAAGTCTGTGGCGTCCAAAACATACAAACATGCGCGTTTTTCAAAATATTTTGTGTTCTATAGAACAAAGCAAGTTGTGCAGGTTGGAAAGACATGAGAATGAGTAAATGATGACAGCAATTTATGTTAATTTTGACAGAAAAGTGAATTATATTGTACTAAAGGTACACATTTTATCAGTTCATACATTCCCTGGGAGTGAACACATGGCCATGTTAACACCGTGCTCCACTGTGTGAGCTACAGGAATACTGCAAGTTTAAAACAAATTCTTGACTGTCCCTTTAATTTTGGATGCCGCCCAAGAGTTGAATTCTAAATGCAAAGTTTAGTAACTATAAATCGTCTAAAGTTAGGATAATTAATTACATTAGTGGGAGAATTGTTAAGGAAAAATAAGTTAATTGTAGTTTGTTTTTGATTCTTTATAGTGAATCAAAAAACAAAACGTCACAAATCAAAGTATCCCGACTCTCAGAAGAATGACTCGTATGAGCCGATTCTTTTTGAGAATGAACCTGAATCATTTACAAGTTATCACTTTAGTCACGTCCAATAAAATGAACTAGATCTGTTGTGAGAAATGCTGACTGGTTGTCACGATAATCTGTAAAGATACATATTTTTGAGTTTCATTGGAATGAGAGGAAATTTATAAACGACATATTATATACACATTATAGACGCATTTATAAGCGCACCAATTCCACAACTATTAAATTTATGCCTAAATTATAATTCTGTTTAAATAAATTGATAGTAGACTGTTAAGGACAATTCATTTCATTTTTCCACATATTTCTATAAAAATCTAGGAAAATCGTTAAAGAGTAACCAGAATCATCGCATTTCTTACATTTTTCATTTCTAGTTGCATTACACTGCATTGGACCGACCATGAGAGTTACAACAGATTAATACCTCGAACCTTGCAGTAAGTGTCCTTCACTCATTGTGGAGTGTTTTTATTGCGAAGGTCCACCGAGTCTAATTTAAGCTATTTTCTGGCCCACACAGTCCTGCAGTTTATACCCAAACAAGCACATTTTCCTCCGGTCTCCGGTTAAAGATGCATTGTGGGATGAAATAAGATGCTGGCAGAGGGGCGCAGGGAGCGGCTGGTCTGCAGCCAATGGCGAGCGCTGTGTAGGACGGCGTTGTGGAGAGCCAGGGATTTTAGCGCGGGCACCAGTCGGCGTTTGACTTGATACTTATGTTCCTCTTCTAGCGTCAAAGGGACTTCCGAAACGACGAAAGCTCGTACGGCGATTGTTTTGAACTGCAAATTTCTCTTGCCAAATATTGTTGATAGGTGAGTTGAATAGTTTACCATCTCGAGTGATCTACAAAGAATGATCTTGCATGCATTTTGAGCCTGATGCTTTCATTTTAGATATTTACATGGCGATTTTTTTTGTTGCAACATTTAAATCGCTTCAAAGCATGTGTTTGGCTTTAAAATTCAGACGCTACAATGAGAACGCCGCGTGCACCTGGGTTTCATTGATTTGCTTGAACCTCAAACGCGCACGCTGTGAATGGAGGTGTGACGTAGCGTTCCTCCATCCTGACCGGTCGATGATTGATGGATGAATCCAGACCTTAATCAGTGAATCATTCGACTGCCACCATATAGCTGAGGTCAACTGCTAAATCAACGTGGTGTGTGAAGTGCTGATGTCAGCTGTGTATGATCTATTAGTGGTTTTCTATACTAGTTTGCCTGTATGCATTTGGACCATATGAATCCCTAATAGTATGCAAATATGGACTTCATTGATTAGCTGCAAGTGGTAGTAGTCCCGTCTTTGGGTATGAATTCGGACCATATGCATCCTAGTACTGGTATTGCTTGTTTAATCAAAGTACATTTATAGTGGATTTAATATAAGTAATTTGAGCGCAATTTGACTTGGTTTTATGCGCCCAGCATTAATAGAATGCAAATATGCCCTTTATTGACCAGCTTCAAATGGCAGTACTGTTTATGGAGTTCGATCATATTTATCTCCGTATTGGTATTGCTAGTTAACAAAAGTACTTTTATACTGGATTTAACTCCAAGAAATGTCATTTGAGAACAGTTTGACTTCGTTTTCTGGGCCCAGCATTAATAGTATGCAAATACAGCCTTTATTGACTAGCTTTAAATGCTACTGCTGGACTGAAAGACCGGTTTGGTTCTCATGAAAGTATCTAGTGTCATTTGAATTGACTCAACAAATCGGAACCTCTCCGTTGATGGCATTCTGTCAGGAATTTACCTGGCATTGTCAGGGAAGAAGCACCCATGAAAGGCCCCACTGTTTGACTCTCAGTGGAGACTTAACTTTGTTCGTCTCTCCATTTTCAGGCACCATGACTGACAGGAAGGCTGTGATCAAGAACGCTGACATGTCTGAAGACATGCAGCAGGATGCAGTGGACTGTGCCACGCAGGCCATGGAGAAATACAACATAGAGAAGGACATTGCCGCATACATCAAAAAGGTGAGTCGTGCCGAGATTTGAGCCGTGCTGTTATTTTAGATTCCCAACGTGTATTTTTGTCACGCTTGCATTTTCCGCCGTGCTTAAACCACGTTGTCTCGTGTTACAGGAGTTCGATAAGAAATACAATCCTACGTGGCACTGCATTGTGGGAAGGAACTTCGGCAGCTATGTGACCCATGAGACAAAACACTTCATCTACTTCTACTTGGGCCAGGTGGCCATTCTCCTCTTCAAGTCTGGCTGAGTCCAGACCAAACCAGACCGTAGAATGTATCTCCAATGAAGACTGTGATGCACTGGTGGCTGATGTCATCTACAAATATTAAACGAGACCATACCATGACTATGCTGGCTGTGCACAACTGCATGGATCATATCCCATACTATTTGTGTACATGTTGCAGTTAAATTGCTTTTCATTAGAGGCCCTAAGTTTTTGTTAATGGTCCTTGCAGGTTTTTCCTAGCACATATGTTGTAAAAATTAAAAAAACGAAAAAGTATAATAAAGGAAATCAGAAAATGTGAAGTGTATTGACCAGCACGTATGTCTGCTATAAATATCTTTTTGGTGGCTTAGTGCTGTAATACATTGAATGCTATGTGCTGTGTTCATTTTTGGGGTATTGGGGTGATGGATAGAAGAACATTTGGTTGTGGGGTTTGGTTTGAAGCATTCTGTTGTTCTAGAAAGAATGTGTTTGTCTGATTACCTCTGCAGTAAATGTATATTTTCTTTTAATTTGATCCTTGAGAGGTATTGCGTTTGAGAGAACCTATATTGACTATTTGAAATGTCTGTCTGAATATACAATGGCCTAGATGTAATTGAGATGCACATATAATAAAGTTTAAAAGCAAAAACACATATGTAACTCATATTATGGCATACTAGCTCCATCAAGCTTTTCACGTAATCGTCTGCAGAACAGGTTTATGAATGTAAGTAGTAAAGGTCTGATCGCACAACACATTTCTTTGCCGTCTTGCTGTCTGTTCAAGATGAGTAGAATTCATTTGCGTGGGTTTATTTTTTTGTTGCTTTTTTTTTACAGTTCTGATGTGTGTGCACAATCATTTGACTGTGTAGTTTGCACATAGCGTTTGCCATATGCCCACTCAGGTACCGCACCCATGACAAAAGCTGCCTGTCAGATTCATTAAAATGTGTGACTGAAAGATTTTGTGTTTGTTCGTGCTGTATATTTCTCATGTGGGCCAGGATTGATGTTCTGCCAGGGCCTGGAGCAGCCATTAACGGCGTGTTTTCTGCTACTTCAGCGCTTAAGCACTAGAGGGCTCCCTGTCTTCGCGCAACGCCTCTGTGAGGCCTACAGTCTCTGAAATGGACACTTGTTTATAGTGGTGAGCGACGGAGCGTCGATACTTCAACACACCTGCTGTTGTATAAAAACCTATGAGGGAGTTTAACGTTTAAGAACCTGTTTTTTTTTTGTTTTTTTTTACTGCTACTGACATTTTAATGGCCCTAATCGAGTCTTAAAATATGTATTGACTGACGATTTCACATGGGTTTATAATACAGTTCCAAACTAATTTTGTAAAAACCATTTTAAACTAAAGATAAAGAAAAGTTTGCCAGTACAAACGTAAATACTGTCTTGACAAAACCTTTAAAGGGTTTTTAGACAGACAGACAGATAGATAGATAGATAGACAGATAGCATCTTAAAGCTGATTAAACAGAAGTAGGCCTGTGTTGTATTCAACTGTACCCCAGCTAACAATTATTGTTTAATTAACGGTAATTTCTGGTTCCCAAAAACAGATATTCTAACATTCTCTGTTGGTTTGCCAGGAGTTTTTTATTTTATTTTTTTTTTAAATGTAAATAGAATGCTCCCCTAATGTTCCCAGAATGTTCTTATTTGGTTCCTCCCAAAAATAAATTTTTTTTAAAGTGAAAACTATGTCCGATAAGACTGTGCCGGACTACGCCTTTTGAAATTTTGGTTTTAAGTTTGTAAAATAACAGTACCCTGTTGAAAAAAACAGCATATGCTGGTTAGGTATGTTTTGACGCTGGGATGCTGGTTTAAGCTGGTGCTTTGCTGGTTTATGCTGGTCATGTGCTGGCAAAGGACCAGCATAAACCAGCAAAATGACCAGCATAAACCAGCAAAGGACCAGCTTAAACTAGCATCCCAGCGTCACAACATACCTAACCAGCATATGCTGTTTTTTCAACAGGGTATGTTGTTGTCTTTGTCAAGGCAACTTATTTCCATCAACTCCATCTTTATTTCTATAATTGTTTCCATATAGATCATAAGATATTCCATCATCACAAACTATTTTAATTCCTCTGATATCAACTTTTTTTTTTTGAAACACGAAAGTAATTTTTGTGTGAATGTGCAAGACTTCCCATTTATTAGCCATAAAATGTAACACAGTGTAACTGTTTAAGCTACAAGCCAGTGTGTTTATGATTATAAATTACAATAATATAATAACAAATACCAGTTTCACGTTTTCAAGCAGCAAACAGATTTGTGTGTGTGTGTGTGTGTGTGTACAGCTAAACTGGGAGTGGATGATACTGGAAACCTTGCACATTCAAGTTACAAATGGCAGCACCCACTCTTATTTTTAAAATAAGGTGGATATCATATGATTTATTGACATAACGTTATTTGTCAGCCATGTTGGTATCTGTATGTTGTTCTGATAATGCTTTGCTGGTATTTTGGTATTTTTGCACTGGTCCTGGTGCACAGGTTTGGTGTGACACTATTAACCTGCTGAAGATCATCATGTGAAGTCATATACCAATCACATCTGAGGAGCTCAAGAGTCTTTAAGTTTCTGTTACAGCCCATTATATATGATAAGATGTGCTGGAGCATGGCTCTTTGTTTTTTTTGGTCCCTGGTTGTTGTATTTGCTAGAGCCATTTTTTTTTGACATATCATTTTCAAAGATAGTAGACATATTGTGATATGATGATGGATGTGGTTTTATCCTATAGATTTTTCCCACTAAAGGTGTTAATGTGCTGCTTCATGTCAGATTGCCGGAAAAAAAAGTCAAATTTTCTGATATCCACAAACCACAAAAGAAGTGAAGATGTCTCTTTTAATACAGCTCCCCATGGTCCTTATCAAGATCACACAGTTTTCATGGTGATGTAAAGAAGGGCCTGTGATATTTGTAGGCTGGAAAGGATAAGACAGACAGGATTTCCCCTGGAAAGTTAATGATTTCCTCACTTCTTTTATTAAAGGGGCTAATTATGCCGCTTGAGGCAGAAGAGAACATGAAAAAGATGACCATACAGACAGTCAGAATTTTTAGAGTAAGAAAAAATAACACATCTTTTTATTTATTTATTTATTTAAGGTATCAAATTGGACAACATCTTAAGTTTTTGTCCTTCCATTTTGGATCTCGTTCTTCAAAGTTTGTCCTTGCACAGGGGACATTCAGACGATTAGCTTCTTAATGTCATGCCCAATCTACCTTTGTGCCCCCAAGAGCAGTTTGTTCTAATAGCTCTCCTCTAAATTGAGTGGCAGCCATGGGGCCTAACAAAGCAATGCAGGAAATGTCTGAGGCAGTCAGGCTGAACACTTACACACCAGACCTGTAAACGCCAGTGACATGATTCACTAAACAGAGGAGGGATCCTCTTACACTCATAATATGTTTTCAAATAGTTATTTGGTCCCATTTTTGTGGTTCATGTGGTTTTCATTAGGAAAGAAGTTCATTTCAAGTGAGTTTTCTTCATTTTTATGCCACATTCCAAAGTAATAAGACTCATTTATGATGAACGAGAGAATCTTATGAGCAGCCATTTCAGTTTTATCATCACAGAAATAAATTACATTTTAAAATATATCAAAATAGCTTTAAATTGTACAAATATTTCACTGGTTTTACTGTATTTTTGATCAAATAAATGTAGCCTTGAGTATAAGAGACATCAAAAACATAATGAGACATTTATTAATGTGACCAACACCAATGTGTATAAATTTTTGACCAACAGTGTCAGTGATTCTGCAGGAAACAGGTTAAAGGTGAAGCACACAGTCTTTTATCAGTCTTGATGGAAAGTAGTTTCCTATTGTGCTTTTCTCTCAATTCCCACTCTTTCATCATTCTTCTTCCCTCTTTCTCCACCACCGGCCTGCTCTTTATGGTTCTACATCTTGTAATCCTGCCCCTTTATTGCTTTCTCAGTGAGTTGCTGTCAAGGATAAGGCAATTCGCTTATCACTGAGACATGATTTATAGAATCTACAAGTGACACAGTCCTTGCGGTGCCACACTGATCCTCTTTGATTTCGGCAAAACATCTTGTTCTCGACTACTTTCCGGCAAGACGTGTTATAGTCCCAGGGTCAGTGGTTCAGAGAGAGAAGGAGCTCGTTTTAGCAAATAGATCACATGGCTGCTGTGCATCAGTGCCTGACTTTTAATGTCATTCAGAAAGCCCTGGGAGGTCTAAAAACCCCTTATGAAAATGTCCCACTCCCTGTGTTTGTGTGTGCGAGGAGGGATAGAGGGAGAGGTCAGACTGGTGCTAAGCTTGATCCCTCTTGCCTTATCTCAGGTAATATCCCTTCTCTCAAGGCATGTGATGTTGAGCAATGGGGTTGTAAAGCGATGCAACGCTTTATGAGTGTTCCTGAGAAACTCGGGCTTCGTTCCACGCTCATTGAGTGATTGGCGGCAGGGCCTCCTTCTCACTCTGTCCCCAGACATTGCTAAGTCATTCGCTCATGTTTGCACTGCACCGATGTGGAGACGGATGAATTGGTTAAGATTTAATCCCAAAGGACATTGTGGTAAATCTGAGGAGTGAGATACATAAAAAAAAAAATCACCTCATAGTTTTGTCATGAAATATTAAAGAATCAGTTGTAGGTGCACTGAATGAAATGAAATTACAATATAAACTAGAAAAATGTAGATCCTGCACACTTCTCAAGTTTGCATCATAACAGAAATTTTTATGCGCAACAATGCTCATTGGAAAAAAAAAATTGCTCATAAAAATGTATATTATTATTTGTGAGAAGGACAATATATATATATATATATATATATATATATATACTGTATA